GGGATTTCTAATTATCGCGCGCGGTTTGGGGCTGGCACTAGTTACGCACGCGCAATGTGCATTTTTAACACCAAGTGTTCATACTAATATATCTTGCTATGTTAGCTCGTCGCAACACGCAAACTTTTCGAGCAACAAAATAATGTCCTTCGCAATAAGTCTGAATCCGGTAGTTAAGAAGGACCCCCCTTAATGAGGGTAACACACAAACCTGTGGCCTTTGGATCCAAGATCGAATTGGAATTTAGAAGTGTTGGTTTTTGAGGAGGGAGAAAAACTGGAGTACCCGGGGAAAAACCCTCGGAGCAAGGACGAGAACCAACAACAAACTCAACCCACATATGTCCCCCCAGAGAAGCTGCATGTAGATGGCCAGGGCTTCCACTAACTCTGGTTTCCACACCCATCAATAATGCTCAGCTCCCTATGCTCTCTAGATGAGCATCTGCTCTTAGAGCAAATGTTGAGAAAAAATATTGTTTAAATAAAAAAAAATTTAAAAAAAATAAAAATAATCTTTATCTTGACAGGTATTATTGTGGATCACGAGCAAGGAATGAAGTTTGCGTTAGACATTGCCAGGGGAATGGAATACCTGCATTCTTTAGATCAGCTTATTCCGAGACTGTATCTAAAAAGTACACACATCATGGTATGTACTATTAACCAACCACCTTATGACTTCTGACATTAAATTGTCCATATATTTTGTCCTGTAACTTAACAAGATAAAATGCAATAACTATCACAGTGAGAAACGGTGTATATCTCTGTAATAGACTCAGCTTAAGTAGGCTATAGCAGTGCTCCAGATGAGAGACGGGTCTCGGGTCAAAAATCCAACAAGGTTGGCTACCTGACCTGACACATTAATGATAACTTCTGACAATTTAGTGAGGCCCATATCTGTTGACCTATTGCAATAGCAGTTATTACAGATGTCAGCGGTTTGACATGCAAATGAGGTAAAAGGGTCAATCTGGTATTGTTTGCCATTTGACATGCAAACGAGGTGAAAGGGTCAATCTGGCATTGTATTGGCCCATTAGCCTCATTTGTAGGCTCGATTACCAGCCGCTGTTCGGGAAAATGAGCCAGAACGAAGACCGGACTCAAGAGAGCGGCAGAAATCGAGCCTAACTCGTTTGCATACTTTTTTTAAACAAAAGAATATTTGACTGCGGGCTCAACTGTAATAACAGCTATTCCTCATTGATCCCTTGCCTTTAAAACTTACCTGGAACCCTGCTATAGACTCAATGTGTTTCTTGATTTTCTAAGTGCGTCTGAGGGAGTGTATTAAACAAGTCTGTTTTGGAAGCCCCTAGGGCTCATGTGGCTGATCGTTAAACATCAATAATTTATCACTACTTGCATTCTAGATTGACGACGATCTTACGGCAAGAGTCAGTATGGCTGATTATAGATTTTCCTTCATGAATCTTAACAAGATAGAAAGTCCTAACTGGATGGCACCAGAAGGTAAAATATTGTTCATTAAAGTTAATAATAATTTAATAATAATTAATTTTAATTATTTATTTATAATCATGGTATCAACAACGTGCGAACTCTGCTCAATCAACAGTTGCGTTGTTTTGCTGCTGTCAATCATCTTAGAGTTGGCGTGTTATTGGAAAGCGCAGTAATAAGTTTCACAAAACAATAATTATTGAAATATAGTAACTGTGTTCAGTTTGTTGTGAGCATAGGAGAAAGAAAAAAATATGAGTTCCGACAGGTGTTTGATGCTCGTGACAAACTGAATGCAGTTACTGTACAGTATGACCAAGTTTAACATTTACCATCTTTGTATTTATCACAATTGAAATATTCTTGTAATTATTGTAATTTCAATGCAGATTTGTTGTTATTTATAGTTTTGCAAAAAAGCCCTGAGGAAGTTGATCAGCGCTCAGCTGACATGTGGAGTTATGCCATGATCCTTTGGGAGCTCGTCACAAGAGAGGTGCCTTTTGGACACTTATCACCGATGGAAGTTGGCATGCAGGTGATTAACATCTTTTATCGTCTGATCATTTGTTTGTTCCGAGAATAGATTGGGAGGACAGGAGGGTCTGAACTTCCCACTTACCTTACACTCCCGGTTTCCGCCCCTCCCATTGTGGTTTCCGCCTCTTTGTGTAAAATGCAACGCAATGTTGCAAATATTTTTCCTGGTTCCCACCACCTGGGGAATCCCACTTCCAACCCTCTCTTCTCCCGCCTCCCGTAGAGACTTCCTACCCCCTTTACTCCAGGGTTCCCGCCCTCCTGTCACCCCCTCCCCATTTCCCTTTTTGCACAATATTTCACGCTTTGTTTTAAAAATGCCTTACCCCAGAACGCAGGACTTTCAAATCCTGGCTAAAAGCTTGCTCTATTAGATGGTGTAGTGGGTGGTATTGGTCTATAGTTTTACTCTTTATCAATAGTATTTTGACGTACCCTGCAGTCTTGTTATTATTGTCAAAGTAAATTTTCTGTTTAGACTAGATTTCTAACAGTTGAAGAACAATTTCTTCCAACTGACTCTTTTCTTTCTTGTTGTAGGTCGCCACTGAAGGTTTAAGACCATCTGTCCCACCTGGCGTGTCGTCGCAGATGGCAAAGCTGGTTTCTATCTGTTGGAACAATGATCCAACTAAAAGACCACGGTTTGACCAGATACTGCCAATTTTAGGCAAGATGGCACAATAGAATTTACTACCATATATATATGAAATAGTTGTTCCCTAGTAGTTGAATCAATACTGTAACAGGTTTCTCTCTGTTTCCTTAAAGGAGCTAGGTCACACCAATTTTGGCAATTATTTTTTCATTTCTTTTTTTATGAGATGTTATGAAACTTTTGTAACTTGCAAGTCCTTTTGGCCAATCAATGGCACAAGTCTGTACGTAAGATTATATTTCGGTCAACAACTTGCGACTACGATTAGCCAGGGCTTTACAGAGCTGCAATGTTTGCAATCCATGATATCGATCTTGTCCAATTTTGACAGGATATCGCTATGTTCTCTATCGTTTTCTAAGGTTTTGTTTTCTATTAGACGACTAGTATGTATGTGACAGAATTGCTTTGTAAAAATAGCTTGACTAGTGTGACAGAATCACCTTTTTAAAACAGCGTGTGACCTAATCCTTTAAGCATGGCACTGGTTACATATATATTTTTGTGAACTATTTTTATCAGACAATTTTGTGATAAATTATTTTTATATCAGCTATGACAAGTAACGTAATCTTTGCTGTAGTTTTGTACAAACAGGAAAACGAAATTTGAAAAATACTCTAAGCTTCCATCAGAAAGCATGAAAGTCACAAAAAGGCTCTTTAGGGATTTCTGTAAAACTTCATGTTCGAAAATAGCCTGCAATGGCAGCATAGTCACAGGGTTTGTACAGGTCCTAGAAATGGAATTTTGTTTTGGCATAAACAAGTAATTTTTTGTCCTGTGTAAATTCAAGGGAAAATTCAGTGACTCGAAGAAAGAACGGTCACAAAATAAACTAAATTGGATGGAGGAAATTCTCGCAAAATGTGAAAAAGATGTGATAAAGAACAATTTAATGGCTTGTGCATTTGGAGTCTGGAAAGGAGTCCTGGAAAACTGTTACTGAAAAAGAGTACAGACCCTGTTAGTGGTGATCCAAGGATTTTCTTTGGACATTCATTTTAAATTGTATAAAGATGTCACAAAGTCATCATTGGGTATGGGGCAAGAATTCCCTTAATACCCTTTCACTCCCAGAGTCAATCCTTGAGTCAATAAATGTGGTTGCACCTTTTGAGTCTGTGGATGAAACCCATGTGTCACTGTGACCATTCAAATGAAAGCTATTAGGCAGTACTTTCAAGTGGTACTGTTTGTTTTTGGCAATTTATGCGAAATGAAATTCAGGATTTTTTCCTCAGCTTTGAAGTTAGCACTCTTGGGAGTGAAAGGGTTGAATTGTATAAAGATGTCATTTAGTCATCATTGGGTATGGGACAAGAATTCCCTTAACCCTTGATTAACATCACATTTCTCCTTATTATTAAAACGAAGTCAAGCAAGTCATGAGAATTTAAGAACTAATCAACTTAAGGGAATGTTGTCTTTCACTTAGTACTACTGTGAGTAATGTAAAAGGAATTTTTTATGGTAACATCAGAAAATTGAGTGAGAAGCAGAATTCAAGAATGCTGCATACATCAAGAGAGGATGATCTAAGAGAAGCATTCTCCAATATATGGGTCTCTTCCAATGATAAATTTTTTGAAATCTATTTTAGCTTTCAGTCCATAGCTGAGCTATTTCAAGAGCACTACCTGATTGTTCAGTTCAAGTAATGTGATGCCGGATCCTCGATCAGAAGGAAATAAAAATAACTTTCACAGCATGGCACAAAACTATTAATAGATTTCAAAAAATTATCATGGGGTAAAGGGAATTTTCTCTTAGATCATCCTTTCTTGCTTACATTGAAGTTCACAAGTTGAAATAGCCAGCAGGAGTAATACAGGATGCAAGTTGGAGGGGCGAGTGTCTTATCTCTCTCGCGCACCAGTCCCACTCACGCTTTATAACTCCAGCGTCTGCTATGCAGGCTGAAGGTGAAACTGTGTACCTAAAGTCGTTTTGTTTGTGGGACATCGTCTAGAGACATTGTGGGAAACGTTTTCATAAGTTTTAACTGCAGTGAAACTTAGATAGACTCCAAATGTGTACAAGACTCATTAGAATACATGAGACTGTTTTGGGTGATGGTCAGAGCTTTCAAATTTTTTTCTTTCCGAAAACATAGACATATTAAAGTTTTATATAATACCAAACTATTGTAACAGAACCACTTATTCTGATTATTGTATATGGTAACAGTTTTTCGGAAATAAATCAAGATATTTTTTTTATCCATGTGAACGAGTGATATTTGGGTTGTGGGCACTGTTGCGGGTTACCGATACCTCACTGCATTACAGAAACACGTTAAAATATTGGGCCTTTTCATGTGGGAGGTGCGTTGGCCTAATGGTTAGGGCGTTGAACTCCGGATCGAGATGCCTGGGTTCGAGCCCTGGCTGGGGTCATTGTGTTTGTGTTCTTGGGCAAGATACTTAACTATCACAGTGCCTCTCTTCACCCAGGAGTAAATGGGTATTGGCAAATAATCAGGGCAACCTGACACAAATGCTGGGGGGTTACCTGTGATGGACCACCATCCCATCCCTGGGGAGCAGCGATACTCCTATTCGCTTCATGGCCTGATAAGCCACTAGGCTTAGACAGACAGGCTTTAACCTTTCACACATCACACAAAAATCATAGTACAGAATACATCGGTCTCGGAGCACGTGGGTGGCCATAGATGCCACATACCTGTACCACATACCAAGCGTAACAGAGCTGGTAACAGTGATGTATAAAAATATGTAACCACTAAAATAATCAGAAATGAATTTACACACACACAAAAAATCACGAATCACATTGAATTCAGGCTTGGTTCACGGGTCACGTGGACGTTAAAATAAAGAATCACAAATATATAAAAATACTCAATCCCGTATTATGGTACAATAAATCACCCATCATGTAAAACGTACAGGGGACCCTCATCATCATCATTATTTAAAAACACATTCATTTCAATATGGTCTTCCAGTGAGCCATGATATCTAACTAATATTATAATAGTAAAATAAAAACCTACAATTACAATGAATTTATATAATGATAACTATTTAAAAATGCCTAATTATTATAATCCTAATTATTATAATCCTAATACTAATATTATTACAACAGTTTACTAAAAAATATTTTAAATCTGTTTACTGTAGTAATCATGGGAAATAGCATACTTGTTGAATCCTAGTTTGCTTATCAAAACCTAATTTAATTTTATTAATTTATAGTCCATTTACAGTTCCTACTTCATATGATCGTCATAGTGTTCATTAAGCAGGGACTCGCTGCTAAGTTCATCCCGGCAAATCCAGCATGTCATTGTGTTGCGATCGTTCATGAGTACGTAAATGTGCTGCTTGGCTAAAACACTTGTCACAGGTATTGCATTGATAAGGCTTTATTCCAGTGTGTGATCTTTCGTGTCTCCGTAAATGACCTGTTTGGCTAAAACACTTGCCACATGTTTTGCATTGATAAGGCTTTATTCCAGTGTGCGATCTTTCGTGTCTCCGCAAATTGTCTCCTGTACTAAAACACTTGTCACATGTTTTGCATTGATAAGGCTTTTCTCCAGTGTGGGTTCTTTCATGTATGCACAAACTTAAAGCATGCCTAAAACACTTGTCACAGGTTTTGCATTGATAAGGCTTTATTCCAGTGTGCAATCTTTCATGTACCCGTAAATGTCCCACTGTACTAAAACACTTGTCACAGGTTTTGCACTGATGAGGTTTCTCTCCGGTGTGAGATTGCTTATGCTTCACCATACGGATGATGCAGAAAACACTACTGGAATAACAAATTTAAAAAAATTATAATTAAAAAATGATGAAATAATATAACAAAAACAATAATAATAAAAACAATAATATCTGAAAGAATAAGAAATGAAAAATATAAAGGAAAATAAGGAGAGAAAGTAAGAATAAATCATGCATTTCCCTTGCTTTTCTGCCTTTGATATGAACATAATTATTATGCATATTTGTAAGCAAATTGAGATTTTTAAACGCGCAGATAAGAACTTTATTATTATATTTAAAAAACATCCACAACCATACCCAGCCCATGTTGGACTACCCCCTTGTTGGACTACCCCCTTGTTGGACTACCCCCTTGGCCTTCCCAATACAATCAAGAAACAATGCCAAGTTTGAGTTGTCGGAAACTACGCCAAATGGTACTCCAGGGTAGGGTTATGCCTGCCCCTGAGCCAATACCAAATTCTTAACAGTTGACAATTTTTATCGTAAATTCAACACATGCCAATCAGGTTGTATGAAGTGTTAGTGGCTAAAATACACATGTACCTGTAGGTAAATGGTAACTCAGAATACTAACTTAATGGAGAAGGTCACTCCAGAAAGCGCATTTTTTTCTCACTACCATTAAAATGTAAATATGAAGATTAATAATTTTACTGACCAAAGTTTGAAGTTCCAAAGAGCCTCATAACATCACAAAATTTGAGAGGGGGGTTGGAAAATGAGCTTCATGTAGCCTAATATTAGGTAATACCCCCCTCCCCCCCACCCCCACCTCCTAAAGGAGTGAATTTTGTTATTGCCCCCCTCTAATCAGTCAGATATTGTGTACGACCCCCCCTCGCAGTATACACACACCTTTATACAAGTACCCTACATTTTCTCTACACGCACCTGTGGATTAAAATCTAATAACAGAAAGAAGAGCTCCTACTACATGTTTAATTGTTGGACATCCGCGTCTGGAACAAACATCACCTCCATACAATGTTCAACAGAACCATAGCAGAAGGAAAAGAGCGTGTGTGTTATTTTCAGGCCCGATGAAATTTCAGGCCCGGAAAATTTTTCGGTTTTCATCTTATAAATAGATAGATAGATAGATAGATAGATAGATAGATAGATAGATAGATAGATAGATAGATAGATAGATAGATAGATAGATAGATAGATAGATAGATAGATAGATAGATAGATAGATAATAGATAGATAGATAGATAGATAGATAGATAGATAGATAGATAGATAGATAGATAGATAGATAGATAGATAGATAGATAGATAGATAGATAGATAGATAGATAGATAGATAGATAGATAGATAGATAGATAGATAGATAGATAGATAGATAGATAGATAGATAGATAGATAGATAGATAGATAGATAGATAGATAGATAGATAGATAGATAGATAGATAGATAGATAGATAGATAGATAGATAGATAGATAGATAGATAGATAGATAGATAGATAGATAGATAGATAGATAGATAGATAGATAGATAGATAGATAGATAGATAGATAGATAGATAGATAGAATAGATAGATAGATAGATAGATAGATAGATAGATAGATAGATAGATAGATAGATAGATAGATAGATAGATAGATAGATAGATAGATAGATAGATAGATAGATAGATAGATAGATAGATAGATAGATAGATAGATAGATAGATAGATAGATAGATAGATAGATAGATAGATAGATAGATAGATAGATAGATAGATAGATAGATAGATAGATAGATAGATAGATAGATAGATAGATAGATAGATGATAGATAGATAGATAGATAGATAGATAGATAGATAGATAGATAGATAGATAGATAGATAGATAGATAGATAGATAGATAGATAGATAGATAGATAGATAGATAGATAGATAGATAGATAGATAGATAGATAGATAGATAGATAGATAGATAGATAGATAGATAGATAGATATAGATAGATAGATAGATAGATAGATAGATAGATAGATAGATAGATAGTAGATAGATAGATAGATAGATAGATAGATAGATAGATAGATAGATAGATAGATAGATAGATAGATAGATAGATAGATAGATAGATAGATAGATAGATAGATAGATAGATAGATAGATAGATAGATAGATAGATAGATAGATAGATAGATAGATAGATAGATAGATAGATAGATAGATAGATAGATAGATAGATAGATAGATAGATAGATAGATAGATAGATAGATAGATAGATAGATAGATAGATAGATAGATAGATAGATAGATAGATAGATAGATAGATAGATAGATAGATAGATAGATAGATAGATAGATAGATAGATAGATAGATAGATAGATAGATAGATAGATAGATAGATAGATAGATAGATAGATAGATAGATAGATAGATAGATAGATAGATAGATAGATAGATAGATAGATAGATAGATAGATAGATAGATAGATAGATAGATAGATAGATAGATAGATAGATAGATAGATAGATAGATAGATAGATAGATAGATAGATAGATAGATAGATAGATAGATAGATAGATAGATATAGATAGATAGATAGATAGATAGATAGATAGATAGATAGATAGATAGATAGATAGATAGATAGATAGATAGATAGATAGATAGATAGATAGATAGATAGATAGATAGATAGATAGATAGATAGATAGATAGATAGATAGATAGATAGATAGATAGATAGATAGATAGATAGATAGATAGATAGATAGATAGATAGATAGATAGATAGATAGATAGATAGATAGATAGATAGATAGATAGATAGATAGATAGATAGATAGATAGATAGATAGATAGATAGATAGATATAGATATATAGATAGTTTATTAGTGATACTATTGCAGCTTGATGGCTGAATTGTGTAAAACTTTACAAAAATACATGTAATAAAAATAATATTAAAATGGCTTGCAATTGACATTAAATAGGTATGGATTCACCAATGTAATATGTACTTGAAATAAAATGTTAAGCCCCCCTCTCTTGAGTGATTTATTTTACCTTGAGCCCCCCCCCCCCCCTATTCTTGCTTTGATTTTACTTTATGCCCCCCCCCCCCCCCCCTCTGGTTTTCCACCCCCCCCGGACAAAGTTAACCAATCACAGGGCAGAACGGGAACAACAGCCACCATTTTCCGGTTTCAGCCAATCCAATGTCGAGACATAACAATGAAATTCCAACTTGACTTTTCGGTTTCAAATTTGAGTAGGTTTGCACTACGATTTGGAAAATAAATGTAAGTCATGAGCGTGAGCAAGAAATTTCAAACTGTATGAAAGCGGTGAACGTGACGGCAAAGTGCGTGGCGGATTTGAATTCTCGAGAAAGATAAAAACTCAACCGCCGGCTGTTTCGGCTGTTTCTAGCACAGAAATGGTTTCTTCAATTTGCTCACTCGTGATGAATTCTTGGCAGGATATCTGTTGAATACGGCTGACAGATATTTGAGTGCATGATGCCCATATTTGGACAGTGTTACAATTTGTTGAATAATAAAGCTCAACAGCCGGGCTAGAATATTTTTTTTTCGTAGACTTAATTGAGGTTTGTTTCATAACTATTTTTTTCTGTATATACAACTATAGACTGTACTTTCACCGGAAATGATT